CATGGAAATTTAATAACTAACCTTTTACACTTCCATATAACATTCGTGAAGTCCCAGAAAGATCAATAAATGGTGGGCTATCTCTAGAGAATGATGACGTAAGATCCAAGGAAAAAACTTCATCTGATAAATTATAACCTCTTATTGGAAACTTTTTTTTTATTGGATTATCATCTGAAACTCTACGAGAGCCACCCATAAAATAAATCTTATCTTTAACTATAGCGGCTACATGACCACCTCTACCTTCCGGAGTAAAACTATTTATCCCAAGGATCATACATATAAAAATAAATATGAATAAAATAGACCCAGTTAAGGATTTCATTATTAGATTCTAAAGATTCGATTCTAAAGGGAATGCATCGATAGATTTTATAAGATGCCAATATTAGAATTAAATGAACGATACACGAGACCGGAACGGACTTTCTATTAGCAAATTAGTTAAATATTGCTCTAAATATAGTATTTACAAAATTATATTGTACAGTAAATAAGTTTTTTTCAACAGCAAATAACTTTTCAATGAAGCTTCTTTTATGAAACTTCTTTTTCATAAACATATTATAATTTTTGTGTACAGTCAGACCTCCCTAAATGCAATACGACGGGACCATATATAAAAATTTAGTCAAACGTGCACTTAGAGAGGTATTGAATTTAGGGAGGTAAAAATCTATAGATGTAATATTAGTTGAGCCAAAGAGAAGACATGCATTTAGGGAGGTGTTTCATAGGACGTGCACTTAGGGGGGTAGCATTTAGGGGGGGTCTGACTGTATCTGTTCTGATTGTGTCACGTACGTACTGTACGTACGTACGTACATCACAAAATAAAGTTATTTCAATGTCTGTACGATGTGTTATACAAATGATAATGTTGCAAGCTTGTGAAATAAAAATAAATATCATTGAAATCAATTCCTTGGATAATATGCAATTATATATTTTAATATAAAGTATATTTATAAACCAGGAAATAGAAAACTATTGATGGTCCGAAGGATTAGATATATATACGCGGTTGTCTACTTCTGAGCAAACCAAAATCGAGAAAGATGATTCACATTGTAACAACCAATCAAAATTTGTAATTTGCGTACACACAAATACATGCTCTATGACTCTACCATAATGTCCTTCGGACAAATTAATTTTTTAGCTTATCTAATCTCTATATGAATTGGCGTGTTTGCCGAATCTTGCATTTGATTGGATAGCATGTTATATTACATATTGGGTGGTCTGTTAATTAAGTAAATCAAAATAATAATACTAAATCACACCAGTAATGTTCAACACTACATATATTTTTTATAAGTTTGCTAGTAAAATCTAGGGTTAAGGGGTCCTATGTAGTTAGGGTGAGGTTTTGGGGAGCTATTTAGTTAGTGAAATATAGCGGCTTTAATGTTTATTGAATACTATTGATGTGATTTAGTAAACCCATTAAAATATCGAAAAGAACTGCACGCATATGATATAATTGTTGGATGCATTCCAGCGCTAATAGCGCTGGATATTCAAACTTTATTAGAGAGTTATAGCATACATCAGTGCGTTGATGTATAGTTGAAGAGATATATAGCATACATCAGTGCGTTTGATGTATAGTTGAAGAGATATATAGCATACATCAGTGCGTTTTGATGTATAATTGAAAGAGATATATAGCATATATCGGTGCGATTGATGTATAATTGACAGATATATATAGCATAAATCAGTGCGTTTGATGTATAATTGGCATTAGCCGGTGGTTTGCCACCCGCATAAGTGCAGGCCGGCTGTTAGCCAGAAGCTTTGTGGTCACGTGATCTTGGCCGGTGGTTTCCCACCTGCATAACGCAGGCTGGCTGTAAAGAGATGTTTAAGCTGCCACAAAATGGCAGGATTCTACTGAGGGAGGGTAGGGAAGGGTGTGAAATTGATTTACCTCTTGAAAGGACTGCTGTCGTGCTGCCCTGCCGCTCTTCCGTTTTATATTTGTATGATATTGTCATATATTCTCTGCTAAATTTGGTTATATTAGTATTCGCGCCATAAGCTCCTAAATTAGCAACTTTGCTAAATTTATACTTATCCCCCTTGCATATGCCGGATTCTCTTTTTGGAACCGGGATCACCCATGTGGTCGCTTGCTAGTGCATCACTGCTTAGCAGTCTTTTCGATCTGTTAACCTATTGTCAGCTTGAAGTAAAAACTTTTTTTTATGTAAAATATAGAACAAAAACCATAATCTAATTAATAACTGCAGTTATCAGTCGTGTCGTAGATGATTATTTATTATTCATCTACTAAAGACTTGATTGATAATTTGGTTATCCTACATATCTGACGTAAGCACTGAATGATTTCTGTGTAACTTACTAGACCACCACCTAATAAAAAATACTGTACGCAAATTTTCACTCATCTTGTAAGAGCTGAATGAAATTTTGTATATTGTATTTGGAGATGACCGAATAAGTTACACGGAAAAAACGGCTCGATCGGCTTGTATATTCATTATAATAAAAACAGATTAATCAATAGAGCCGATGAGCCGATTTGCATCTCTAATTAAATCACCCATGGTCTTTATAATAGGGTTTCGATCCAAATTTACAGTCTATAAAACTTTGAAATAAGCATCTTTAAAGTTCGCAGAATGCCACTATTTGCCATAATGTTTGACGCGTTTACATTAAGACTAAAAAATCCAAATCCTTATATTTGAATTTGTTTGATATGCTATCTGGGTATTTTGATAAGATATTTGATAAGATATATAATTGGGCTGGAGCGGAGGGAAGCGGAGTGTAAGTCCTTTCTATGCTCTACTAAATTGGGTCGATGTCCGGCTCCCACCCCTGTAATTATATAACTCGATTTTGAACAATCAAATCCCCTGTAAAAATTTAATCGGAATTTCGATCAGTAACGTTAATAATATATATGATAAATAAAATAGACTAATAAGCATGATAAAATGTGATAACGATAAATAAAACAGACTAATAAACATGATAAATAAAATGACAATTAATGTAATAATTACATATGAGACTATAAGCATGATAATACGTAATAAATGTGATAAAGTGATATAAAATAGATGATTAACAAAGCTAATTGAAAGTGAATTAATAATTTATTGTAACGATGCAAAAAAAAAGAATTTATACGCCTGAACAAAAGGCTG